AAAACAACCATCAACATCAACGAGGACCCTCACTAGTATGCATAACGCAAGATTCGATCAACAGAAGACACCTTCTCCTCTGTGGTCTACACTGCTCTAACCAACCTGGAGCAGAAGGACTCCTATGTCCATATGCTCTTTGTGGACTTCATGTCTGCCTTCAACACCATGATTCCTCAGACCCAGATGGACAAACTACTCACACTAAGCCCCTCCATATGCAACTGAGTCCTGCACTTCTTAACACACATACCGCAGCCAGTGAGGATGCACAACTTCTCCTCCTCCAGCATAACCATCAGCACTGGCTCCCCCCAGGGCTGTGTGCTGAGCCCTCTCATGTTCATTCTGCTCAGGTATGACTGTGTAGGTACCCATCCAGGCTGTCACATTGTAAAGTTTGCAGACAATACAGCGGTGATGGGATGCATCACAAACAACAATGAGTCCAGCTACAGGCAAGAGGTGGAACACCTGGAAAGCCAGTGCAGGAAGAACAACCTTCACATCAATGTAAAGAAGATGAAGGAGATGGCCGTGGACTTCAGACGGAACAAACACACCTACCCCCCCAAATATAGAAGGATCTGTAGTGGAAGTTGTCTCCAGCTACAAGTACTTGGGTGTGGACCTGAACGACAACCTCAACTAGGGCAACAACACCACCAACCTGATCAAGAAAGCTCATCAGAGACTCTACTTCCTCAGGCGGTTGAGACAAGCTGGTCTGGGAAGCTCAGTCCTCACCTCCTTCTACAGGTGTGCAGTGGAGAGCATCCTGTGCTCCAGCATCAACGTGTGGCATGGAGGCTGCACAGCTGCAGAAAGAAAAGCTTTGCAGAGAGTGGTGAAGGCTGCACAGAAGACTGTTGGAGGCAGTCTCCCCACCATCACAGACATCTACACCTCCAGTTGCAGGAAGAGGGCCACCTGCATCATGAAGGACCCCACTCACCCAGCACACTCACTTTCTGCCCTGTTCCCCTCAGGCAGGAGGTTGAGGAGCATTAAGTGTAGAACCACTAGACTGAGGAACAGCTTCTACCCTGAAGCTGTTAAGACTCATGAATCGCTAATCAGAATAATCACTGTGAAAAAATCACTGTGATGCCACTTTGATTGCTGATATGTGCTGCTGATTATCCATGTTGCTGATCTCATGCTGCTGATTAATTTCATTCTGCTGTGTTCGTTCATACTCATCTGCTCACACAGACTCATGTTCGTGCTGCTGTTGTTCACTGTATTGTTTTTATACTACTAGTGCTTAGTGTTTTTGTAGTTTAGTGTTTTTTTTAGTTCATATCTTAGATCTTACTACTGTTTTTCTTTACATTTTAATAAATACTTTTGTTGAATAGAACTGGGACTCTCTTTACACAATTTCGTTCCACCACATGTGGTGTGAACAACAAATAAAGAAACTTTGACTTTATTTAAGATATAACGTTTTGAAGAATGTGTTGAGAAAGCCAGCTGCTTGTAACACATGAAATCTGAGCTCAGAGGAAATGTGCTGAACTGGTTCACAGCAATAAAACACATCTAAATATAAAGTATAGGTTTAAATCACAGGTTTCTTTAAAACTGAGACTAAACATGATACAAGAAGAGAAAATACAAACAGCTTACTAAAAGAACTAATAGTTTATATGAAATGCTGGGTATTTATTTTAACTTTAACCTCTTCTGAAGTCTCAGTAATTCTTTTGTTCATTTTTACATTAAACACACCAACAACATACATATTTTAATTTAATCCACTACGTTGATTCAAAGATTAGTGTTTTCCACTCATTCACATGTTTAGTAAAGTGTTGGACTCAGAGTGCAGACAGACTTGGAGGAACTCGAGGCTAAAATAATAATAATAAAAAAAAGATTTATTTAATAAAACACACAAACAAAATGCTAACATGGCAGCAAAACTTACAAAAACCGGGGAGACACAGAGGAAGCTGAACATGAAGGAAGCACAATCCATGGACAAGGGACAAACAAAATGTTAAGATATTTAAAGGGACACTAATGAAGAACACCTGGGGTGAGTAGGATTGGGAACAGGTGAAGGTGACTGAGGAAAAATGCTGAAGAGGCTGACAGAGGGAGAAATGAGAAATGACACAGGAAGACAGGAGCAACTAAAACACAATACAGAAACAAATACAGAAAAACTAAACACACAAAACACACAGATATGACAATCACAAGCTTAATTCTAGAATTCTAGAATTGCGCCCCTCAAGGTGGCTGCATGTTGGAGCAGCTCTGTTGCTTTCATTCTGAGATTTTGGAAACTTTTGGAAACTTTAATTCCTGGTTTTCTGGATGTAAATCATATTTTTTGGATTATGGTTTCCTCTGGTATCGGACGCTGTGCAGCTGGAAGGATTTTTACTGAGACTTTTTTGGCTTTGGACATTTGTTATGATGCGTAACCATGGCAACAAGGCAGTTTTCTACAACAACAGCAGCTGAATAACATCTCAAAAGCTCAAATAATATCTCAACTATGGTCCCAACTCTCAAATGAGTTGAAAAGGATGTTATGTGGACGCATTCTCATCTACCTGCCAGCTGTGCTAGAGTGCCTGACCACTGAGATCCTGGAACTAGCAGGAAACACGGCTCATGACAGCGGAAGGACAGGATTGTCCCTCAGCACCTACAGTTGGCTGTCCACAGCTATGAGGAGCTTGGCAGACTGCTGGGAGGAGTGGCCATCGCTCTGGGAGGAGTTCTGCCCAGCATTCAGGTGGTCCTACAGTCCAGGGGAACCGAGAGGCCAGCTGAGTCTGGGTGGACGGATCGGATGGCATCTGCAGCCATTTTCTTAGGATCCACTGAGGGATGAATGTTTACAAGAGCCATCAGCATTTATAACATCTCTTGATGAAATGAGGATAACGAGTTACAACAACAAAATAATTTCCCTTTGGGATTAATAAAGTATTAGTGAATTGAATTGAATTGAATTGAATTAACTTTCCTGTTTGTTCTCCAGAACAAAATGTGTGCTCATTGTGAAGTACCGGTGGACTTTTTGTGGTTCATGGTTGAGAAGACATCTGAAGGAGGAATGTGAGGGCAACTGTGCAGTCCACAATCCGCAGAGGGCCACAGTGCTGACCTTTGACCCGTCATGAGTCCATAAGTAGCCGTGAATGCAGTGAATTTATGATGACAATGCGCAGCAGTGAAAGTCGACATATAAAGTCAACATGTCACATAAAACATGCAGTGATGTTAGAAGTAAAGAGTTAATGTCAAACTGTGGCGTACAATGTTGGAGCAGAAAAGACACGTCTGAAGTTTGTGTCCAATTTATAAAACCTTCCTATTCATAAATTCCAGGTGGAAATTATTCAACCTACTGCTTTGAAACATGAAGTCTGGTGGCCTTGTACCGGCTCATTAATATATATAACTTTTATTAAACAGGTAAGTCAGTACAGAACCACTTCTCATTTACAAAGTACAATGACGCTCTGGTAAAGAGGCAGCAACACAAGTGGACATTAAGCATCAATGATAAAAAAGAAAGACAAGGCACAAAAGCAGCATAAATTAACATATTTAAACATACTATACACATTTTATAAAGCATTGTGAACAGTACAAACAGTGACAGGCATTCCAAAACTAAAAGCACGTGCAGTGATCTTGTACCAGTGAATGTAATGAGCGTTTAAAAGAGAAGAGCGTAACAAATGAGTCGAACTTTAAGGATTGTTGCTGATGGATCTGCGGCAGAGAACCGACCAAATGAAGTACGTGCTTTCAGACTGCGGAGATTGATAAGGTTACTAGAAAACAAACTGTGATTAGGTTTGTGGTTGTTAAGAAGTGACTGTAGGAAACTCTGAGTTTTTCCAGTGAGGATTTTATAAATAAGCCTGAAGCAGTGAACCAGTTAATCTTCTAATGTTTTCAGATTTATTTTCCAGATATTAACATATTTTTTAAGCTGTAACATTAAAAGGAATTTGGTTGTTGAGCTGTTGAACTTTGTTCTTAATACCCCATCTTCTTTTTTTAAGTTGCAGGTGGTCAAATTTTCACATTGAGCCCACCACTAATGAGAAATAGCTCTGTCTGACTCAAAGGTGTTAATCGGGTTAAAGGCTCTGACTCCTCCGAGGAGAGCACAGAGGAGTCAGTGGAAACAGATCAGTGATGCTTACTCATTCTCACGCTGTTGACCCAGCAGTAAAATAACAGTTACACACAGACACACACACACAGACACACACACACACACACACACACACACACACACGGCCACTTTTTAATCACAAAAAACTGCAGAATAAAAATTTGATGAGAATCAGTAGCTGTTAAAAGTTCAGAATAGGTCATTTCCCTTTACAGGTCTGTGGTCTCAATTCCTCTTAACACACACACACACTACTAAAGGGACTACTAAACTATTAAAGGGAAGTGTGTATATATATATATATATATATATGATTTTACAAGATGCCCCACCCTGATCAATGGGAGGGAGAAAAAGTTTATGTTTGTGCACAAAAAACAAACCAAACCCCAATTAATTTAAATAAATGATAGAATTAGGCAACATTTATCCTATGTTTTCCCTCCAGAAAATGTAACAATTTGTAAAATTTGTGGGGTTAGTGGTTCAGGAAATGAATGTCCTCCCCACTAACATATCTGCTCAGGAGCTGCCACTGATTTTAAACAGAATAATTTTCATCTTTGAACTTGAATCAACTTTTTAAAACCTTTCCCAGCAGAATTGTGACTTACAGAAACTTGTTGTCACCTCGAAGCAGCATAATTTATCATCATTTAGCTTTCTGGGAAATAACTAAAGAACCCTGATTTTGTAGATGGGATAAAATACTTGTAAATAATCAACACATCTGTACTTGTTTAGACAGTTGAATCTTCTGGTTAATGTTTTGGTAAATAAGGAAGTACTGGTAGTTGCCATGTGAAGTGTTGAGGTGGAGGATGGATGTGAAGTGACTTCCTACCACTCCATGATGATGAGCAGGCACTTCTTCCCATGATACATGTTCTCATACAGGCTGAGGATGCGAACAATGTACGGCCCTCCGGACACTCGCCAGTGCAGCTCCACCTCTCGTCTCGCCTTGGGACTGTCGTAGAGAATCTGTGAGGTCAACGGGCACAAAATTAATGGCACTGTCTCATTTAGTGAAATAAAACTGGTTCACATCTGTCAAACTCAAGAGACAGGCCAAATCTGGACCCCCAAAATGATAATTTAAATGTAAAATATTGTATCTCTTCTAATATTTTTCATTAAAATAACTGATCATTTGGTGAATTCTCTTGCCAGCTGGCTAACTTTGAAGACATAAAGATGTCATTATTGATTCTGATGTGGAAAGAGTAACAGAACGTCAAACAAGACAGATCAAACTCTTGTTGTTGAACCTTCAACCAAGAAAAGATATCAGGTATCTGACTCGAATTACTGTATCAGCTGAAAGTGGCCTGTGGCTCAGACAAAGTTTTTAAATTTTGGCTCCTTTCGGTTCTGCTGGGGGACTTCATTGCTCACATGGGCAATGGCAATGAGACCTGGAGGGGTGTGGTTGGGAGGAACGGCCCCCCTGATCTTAACCCAAGTGGTGTTCTGTTGTTGGACTTCTGAGCTCGTCATGGATTGTCAATAACGAACACCATGTTCAAGCATAAGGGTGCCCATATGCGCTCTTGGCACCAGGACACCCTAGGCTGCAGTTCGATGATGGACTTTGTCGTCGTCTCATCTGATCTGCGGCCGCATGTCTTGGACACTCGGGTGAAGAGAGGGGCGGAGCTGTCCACTGATCACTACCTGGTGGTGAGTTGGCTCCGATGGTGGGGGAGGATGCCGGTCAGACCTGGCAGACCCAAACGTATTGTGAAGGTTTGCTGGGAACGTCTGGCAGAGTCTCCTGTGAAGATGGAGCATTAACTCCCACCTCCAGGAGAACTTCGAACATGTTCCGGGGGAGGTGGGGGACATTGAGTTCGAGTGGGCCATGTTCTGTGCCTTTATTGTCGAAGCGGCTTACCGGAGCTGCGGCCGCAAGGTTATGGGTGACTGTCGCAGCGGCAACCCTCGAACCCAGTGGTGGACACCGTCGGTGAGGGATGCTGTCAGGCTGAAGAAGGAGTCCTATTGGACCTTTTTGGCCTGTGGGACCCCGGAAGCAGCTGATGGGTACCGGCAGTCAAAGCGACATGTGGTTCGGGTGGTCGCTGAGGCAAAAACTCGGGCACGGGAGGAGTTCGGAGAGGCCATGGAGAATGGCTTCTGCACGGCTTCGAGGCGATTCTGGTCCACCATCCGGCGTCTCGGGGGGGAAAGCGGTACACCACCAACACTGTTTATAGTGGGAGTGGTGTGCTGCTGACCTCAACTCGGGATGTCGTGGGTCGGTGGGCAGAATACTTTGAAGACCTCCTCAATCCCACCGGCACGTTTTCCACTGAGGAAGCAGAGACTAGGGACTCTGGGTCGGGCCCTCCAATCTCTGGTGCTGAGGTCACTGAGGTGGTTAAAAAGCTCCTCGGTGGCAGGGCTCCAGGGGTGGATGAGATTCCTCTGGAGTTCCTTAAGGCTCTGGATGTTACAGGGTTGTGTTGGCTTACGCGACTCTGCAATATTGCGTGGACATCGAGGGAAGTTCCCCTGGATTGGCAGACCGGGATGGTGGTCCCCCTATTCAAAAAGGGGGACCGTAGAGTGTGCTCCAACTACAGGGGGATCACGCTCTTAAGCCTCCCTGGTAAGGTCTATTCGGGGGTTCTGGAGAGGAGGGTCCGTCGGATAGTCGAACCTCGGATTCAGGAGGAGCAGTGGGGATTTTGTCCTGGTCGTGGAACACTGGACCAGCTCTACACTCTCAGCAGGGTCCTGGAGGGTGCGTGGGAGTTTTCCCAACCGATCTACATGTGCTTTGTGGATTTGGAGAAGGCGTTTGACCGCGACCCTCAGGGAACCCTGTGGGGGGTACTCTGGGAGTATGGGGTACCGGGCCCTTTGATACGGACTGTTAGGTCCCTGTATGACAGGTGTCAGAGGCTGGTCCGCATTGCCTGCAGTGTCGGGCTTGTTCCCGGTGAGTGTTGGACTCCTCCAAGGTTGCCCTTTGTTACCGATTCTGTTCATAACTTTTATGGACAGAATTTCTAGGTGCAGCCAAGGTGTTGAAGGGATCCATTTTGGTGGCCTTAGGATTGAGTCTCTGCTTTTTGCAGATGATGTGGTCCTATTGGCTTCATTGGTCGTGATCTACAGCTTTCGCAGGAGCGGTTCGCATCCGAGTGTGACGCGGCCGGGATGAAGATCAGCTCCTCCAAATCCGAGGACATGGTCTTGAGCCGGAAAAGGGTAGAGTGCCCTCTCCGGGTCAGGGAGGAGGTCCTGCCCCAAGTGGAGGAGTTCAAGTATCTTGGGGTCTTGTTCACAAATGAGGGAAAAATGGAACGCGAGATAGATAGGCTGATTGGTGCAGCGTCTGCAGTGAAGCGGGTTCTGTACAGGTCTGTCATGGTGAAGAGAGAGCTGAGTCAAAAGGTGAAGCTCTCAATTTACCGATTGATCTACGTTCCTATCCCTCATCTTTGGTCATGAGCTTTGAGTTGTGACCGAAAGAACAAGATCTCAGATACAAGCGGCCAAAATGAGTTTTCTCCGCAGGGTGTCTGGGCTCTCCCTTAGAGATAGGGTGAGAAGCTTGATCATCCGGGAGGGACTCAGAGTAGAGCCGCTGCTTCTCCACGTTGAGAGGAGCCAGTTGAGGTGGCTCGGGCATCTGTTTAGGATGCCTCCTGGACGCCTCCCTGGTGAGATGTTCTGGACACGTCCCACCAGGAGGAGACCCAGGGGAAGACCCAGGACAAGCTGGAGGGACTATGTTTTTTGGCTGGCCTGGGAACGCCTCGGGATTCCCCCGGAGGACCTGGACCAAGTGGCTGGGGAGAGGGAAGTCTGGGCCTCCCTACTTAGGCTGCTACCCCCGCGACCCGACTCCGGATAAGCGGAAGAAAATGGATGGATGGCTCCTTTTGGTAACTGAGCTTACCACCCCTACAGGTGAAAAAACATCTTATTTATTTATTTCTTTATTAATTTAGTCTCGACAGTTTGAGCTTCATGATAACATAACATAAAAGAGATCCATATCCAGCAGTCTCTGTGCGAGAGGCAGGAGACACCCTGGACAGGTCCCAAGCCCATCACAGGACACAGAGACAACCTGAGTTGGCCTAATATGCACGTTCTGTGTGCAATTTGCACATTCTCTTTTTACTCATTAATAATCCCTCCCATCCTAAACCCCTCCCAAGTTTAACTTTAAATGAAGTTGCAATTGATGTTCATTAAAAGACATAAAACATTATTCTGATATTGTTTTTTGATTTGTTCTTAAATTCTAATTATGAAAGAAAGTTTTATTTTCTATAAACAACCCATCCATAATCGCAGAGCAGGTGATCAAAGCAAAATGTTAGCATTAGTTAAAATTAGCTCATATATATATATATATATATATATATAATGTTTTGCAGACAAAATAAAATGTACAGTGGAGTCAATATGATGCAGTTATGTGGTCCAGATTTAATAACCTAAACAAATAAGACACACCTGTTATGATGAGATTCTGCCTGAAGAACATCAGTTTATTGGACAATAATGCAGAAAAACAAAAGAAACTCAGGGTGGAAAAAAACATTTTTCTATGTTTGATAAGTGCCAGTTGTCACTTCCTGTGTGTCAGCGTGAAGTGTCAGGCTGAACAACGAAGACTTTCCTCCAGGGTTAGAGTAACTATGAGAACTGAAAGGAGAGGCCAAACTGGAGGGAATCATGTTGGTTCAGAGTCCTGGTAGATGTCTTCTATAAAATGCTGGTGATTCTAAGTCATCCAGGTCATGAGTGAGCAAAAAAAAAAGTTAAAAAACAAAAACAGCTGGACTTCTAATCTGAAGCTGAAGATGTTTTGCTTCCCATCCGGGAGTCTGTATCAGTTCTAAAATGTCGAGTGTCTTTACAGAACTGCATGAGAGGCCTGGTTGTGTTTATAAGTTCAGCTGCTGGTTAGACTCGCAACAGAGCCTCGTCAGGCTCTTTTTGTTTGTCCGGCTCACAGACACATGTTTTGGTCAACTACATGAAGAGAGGTGCTGACCACTCTGCTAACAGAACCACACTGTTAACAGAACCACGCTGCTGTACGGGACCATACTGTTAACACAACCACACTGTCAATAAAACCACTCTGCCAACAGAACCACTCTACTAACAGAACCACACTGCTA